TAGTCAAGCAGATTCTACGTTTAGTAAAAATGTATGTGTATACATCTATCAGACAATTGCTGTCGAGAATGGCTATTTTTACTTTTATTAATAGTTTAAACTAGCCGAGGGATTTTCTTATAAGTTTCAAAAACAATATAAAACGAGTTGTTCTGTGACTTCTACTACAATTAAGATTATGCGTATGAAGTAATATTTATCTCAAAATAATCAGCCAATTATCTAACATTCTGAGAGAACCCCTCTCAACCCCTCGCAAGCCATCACCTGAAATGCTTTTTGAAATCTTAATTCTGTGCTTATTTATTTGTTTCCTTTATAAGCAGAAATCTTGAGCAAGAACCAAACAGTAGTGTGAAAAAAAATAATTCTTACTCTTTCATCAACACAGATAGGGCAGAAATGGGCTGACTCTAATCAATTAGATACAAGACAGTCGTGGCAATTTTTCCTTCCAGTTCACAGAGAACTAAAGTAGATCTCAATTGCTTTCTGACCTTTTCTTTTTCAATCTCGATCACATTCTTTTGCCGAAACTAGCCAATTACACATCCGGTAGAAATTAAAGTGTATTTCTCAATGCGATTTTGAGGAATATCCGCGTTGAAGTTCCTCACCCTCGGGTTTCATTTCAGATGTTTGGGGAAATTTTCTCAATCTCTAAATTCTCCCTCCAGGTTCATCCATGGCAGCTGTCTGGTCAACAGAAGTGACCTGATTTTTTTTTTGTTCTTAAATTACACCACTAAAGAGGATTAAATGATTTATTCTTTCATTTTCGCCATACCTACTGAAAAACCCGCAAAGTATTGCTTAATTAACTTAACTGTTGAGGTAAAAAATAAAAAAATAAAAAGAAAAGTTGAGACAAAATTTAAGAAGAAACGAAATATGAAGAAACGAAATATGAAGAAACGAAATATGATTCTGAATTCTTATCATTTTAATGCAAGATTTATGTTAATTAGTCATATTTAAAAATCTGATCCTTTCCATTTAATAGGAAGTTATTTTAAACATTATTTGATAAATTTCTACATCAATTTTGGTCAGTATTATTTTGCACTTGTCATTCCTAACATAAAAAATCAGTGTTTTTTTATTTTTATTTCCAATGAGCTGCACAATCGGTCTTGCCGATGAGCAGTCCTAGTGCGTTCTCCAGAGGTGGTATCCACTCTTTCAGGACCACCACAATGGGTGAGATACCGTTGGTCATGTTAATTTGGACGTCTAGTTTCTGCCACACTAGATGGCAGCACCGAGACTCTATTTGGATGCTAAAGTGCACTAGGAATTCAATTTTGCCGGAAATGCCAAGAGCCAATAAGGCACTCCTGGGATATTTTACATGCCGCATAATCATACGACATGGCCGCTGAGGATTTTCTGCATCCCGAAAATCCGGTGTCTGGGCCGGGGATTGAACCCGCAGACTTGGGCTCAGAAGGCCGACGACAAACCAACTGAGCCACCCAGCCATTAAAAAATCAGTGTAAATTAGAGATTAATCTATACCGTAATTGATTATATTATTTAACTTACATAAACTGAAATTTGAAATCTGTAATCAGATATAGAAACAAGGTTTGCAAGTATAATATTTAGAAAAGAAATTCTATAAGACTTGGGATTAAAGATACTTGATTCGTGGTTTAACCATTATAAGGTAGGAATGTTCAATTTTTGAAGTTTTATCATAAAATAGTCTCAAATAGTTATTGATATGCGATAATTTTAATTATTTGATATTCTGAGTTCTTCGCTTTCATAGCTTTTGTTTTTATACTTTTAGAGTTAGTTTTTATAGATACGTTTTCAACCTAACTATTAATAATATTAATATTATGAATGAAATTTAAATTTTGATTGTTAAAATTGCCTTATTTAAAATGAAATTTAAATTTTCATAAATAGAATTTGCTTTCTAAGAAACTAAATGCTTTACTTTTTTTAATGACTTTAATCTTAATAATTGTGTAATAATTTTAAGGCAGTCTTTAAAATATACAAAATTGGCACTGGAAATTTTTATTGAAATATTAATGGGAATTTATATAATGATTGCTTATTTTAGATGCATTTCTAGAGATAAATATAATGTAAATCAATTTTATTTGAAACTGCTCTAAACTCGTTTCGATCCGACCCAAATATGAACTGGAACTATTTATGTAAATAATTTCATTGTTGTTGTCGTATGCCATTAAGGCAAAGGGGTGAGCTTCTTCTTGTTTTCCAGTGGAGCTATCTAGGGCCAAGAATTCGACTTATGTCCACACACTCGCGTCCCATCCCGTTAATGGTGCGAACCCTTTCATACATCCATTCATTCATCCACAGATCATAATTTTGACCTGAATCAGTGAACGATCAACCTCCAATTTAGTACCTCCAAAGGTATGATTTGTTATGGAAACATGGAGGACTTTGATATCCAATGGAATTAACGTGCTAAAGTCACCATTGTCTACACGGGAAGTCTTCGGCCGGCGGGGATCGAACTTACGACCTCTTGGGCATGGGCCCAAATCCCTACCAACCAGGCTATAGCACCCTATGAATTTCATTAAAAACTAACAATTGGAGACATTGACTGCTCTACAACAAAATTTAACAGTTCCTCATTAGAAACTATTAAAAGAGTATGTTTCCCAGGAAGAATATTTATTTGATGAAGAAAAAATTTACAATAAAACTATTTTTATTCAAGCTGAATAAAAACTGCTATTTATTTTATTATAGGTTTATAATAATAAAATAAATAGCAGTGCATAATTAATACCGGAATATTGAAAATATGAATAAATTGTCAATAAACATAAAATAGGCGTAAAATTAAATGTGTAATATTATTCTTTATTCTAGGTTCATTTACACGGATGTTAAAAATATTTTTATTAGTCTATATATAATGAAAAAAATTCATTCTTTGTATAATTTTACAACTCAATCCTTTATTGTTTTTTATTATCTATCTACTCTAACGGTTCTTCTTTCTTTGCAAAACTGTAACCAATGTTTATTTACAAGAGTACATAAAAAGTCTTCAACTTTTATATCATTGTTTAAAAAAAAGTCTCGCTTAAGCTGCTTCATTGTTTAAAGGGTGATTGTCTGGGAACCAAAATATACTCTGTGATACAATAAACATCTTCCGATTAGAAGTTTACCAGTGCTATGGTTCAATTAAAGTGCACAAAGCGCTATTTCAGAGTGAGAAAAATGCTTTGATAAAGATACCTTTTGATTTAAAAAGATGTTTCATAGGTCAGACTTCCGACAAATTATTTATTTCTAAATGAATATCCGAACTGAAAAAGAAATCATCTGCATGGCTTGGTAAGGATGAAGAAGGTCAAATTCTACAATAGGTCAAGTACAATTATTTCGTTTTAAACTTCCCCAACTTTGTTTGCTACAATAAAAATAATCAACTGAGAATGAAATGACTGAAGATAATGATTGGATGACACAGATTTCTTTGCTTTGATACTACTGAACTAAATAGTCAGTTTGCGAACATGAATTTTTCACACGAGAACACCCTTTCTAGAAATATTTTTGTGGAAATTAAAATTAATAATCAAATTAAATTAGTTATAAACTATTTTTTTACTCCGGAAAAATTGTCACAATGAAAATTATCAGATTTAACTCGAACGCATTTATTCTGTAAATGATTTTATATTAGTTTATAACAGAGAGGGGCAACATTTCATTTTAAATTTTATAACCACAGTTGAACATCCGACCCAATTTTGGGTTTACGACAATCAATGTTCAACACCGTAACCTTGTAATTTTGAACCCGATCCAGAAGACATGGGAACTCCTGGATCAAGTATTGGGAAAAATTTGCCTTCGTGGAGGACTTTTTTGATGGAACTAACCCGCATTTACGGTACATGGAGAGGAAAACCACCAAAACCCCTCACGGTTAGCCTGACGACAAGGGAGCTCTTTTCCATGAGTGAAAACTACTACTACTAACTACTCCACTAATGAGAGAAAAAAATGCAAAGTAAGATTTCATTTAAATGGAGGATTCATAAAAGAGAGTTATTCATTTTTGAATGAAATTTTAAAACATTGTATTGTACTGTAATTTTCATTTTAGTAGAATGTTCAAAATTCGTTTATGGTTCACGATGAAATGGTGTAATTTTAAAAATCTTAGGCCTTCACGGCATTTTTTACACTAAGCCAGTTTTTAAATAAATAAATCTTCTGAAATATCTCAAATGAGGCGAAAACTATGCATAGATGATGTGCAAGTTTGGTGCGTCTTCAATTATCTAAAACTCCAAAAATAAGTTTCACATACTTTTACTTTCTCATAATCTATTTATTTATGCAATTTTAAATTGAGTTCGAATTATGTTAAATAACCTAGAAATAAATTTTAATAACTTGATTTATAAATTAAAATTTTACTAAAGGCGAGTTTCTTATTGAGAATATCCCGTAGTTTTTATTCTTTAAGAAGTTATATTCTTTAGTAAGAAAATTACCTGAGAAAGCATGCATTTTTTTTCTCGTAATTTTTAGACCAATTTGAAATTTACTGTAAAATACTTAGAAAAATCTAAAATTTAATATACATGTTTTCATCAGCATAAAAAACTTAAATTCATCTATAATAAACCGGCTTATTAATGAGTATATCATCGTATATGATTAAAAAATGAACTCTGGAATTATAAAAATTAATTGCGTAGGAAAAAAGAAAATACAATAAAAAGTAACCTTTCATTGCTCAAAAAATACAACACTACAGTGTGCCCATAGATTTTGATTCACAGTTAATAAATTTTAAAATATTGGGTACGCAATCGGACTTTGATAGAAATAATTTAAAAAATCAATTTTATTTCAATGCATGTGAATCTTTTGATTTGTAATTTATTTCTATTCATACATAAAATTTATTGACTGCGGCTGAAGTAAGTTTTTTTAAAGAAAAAAATAGTTTTGTAAAGAAATCGAGAAAAACTTACCTTCATCTGAGCCATCCGGACAGTCCAGCCTTCCGTCACGTACCTGAGATAATTTTATACATATATGTGGCGTCGTTCGACACGGAAATTGAGTCTTTTGGTTGCACAGACTCCTTGCAGAATCTAGAAGAAAAACAATAAAATAACGTATAAATATTGTGATTATATATACCATATACCATGCAGCAAAAGTAGACAAAATAGAAATTCTGCATGAAAGTGGGTTCAAAGTAAGGTTCGTTCTCAATGCATGTGCGGAGCGTAAATTTTTAATCATAAAAAAGTTGGACTGAAAGTGCCTGCGCAGATGACGCAATATGCTGATTTTGCGAAATCATACTAATATGCATAAAAATATCAAGTTGCCAGTATTTAAAATATATTTAATCTTAGTAAGACATGATTTTAGAAATTGCTTATTGATTTAAAGTTTTTGTTTAGTGTTTATTAATGATTTAAGCTTTATTTTTCATAGTTCCCAGAAGCGCCAGAGCTGGTGGCTGTAATCAACCATCCAGTAGCAAACATCCAGTTAATGGCATCCAGAGAACAACCCTCACCCATGGACACGACAACATCTAATTCTTATTAAATAAATAATTACATGTTTCATGCATTTAAATCGAAGTTTGGATAAAGGTATTAATGACAGTAAATATATTTTACATTCACAGATAGAAAAAAAGTTTGGTAAAAACTACAAGACTATGGTTAAATTTACCTTGTTTCTGACTCTATGGAAGCACTAAAAAGTTCGGCCTTTTTTACCCAAGCGCATTATTAATAGTTTTTAGTAAAATCAACAGTAATAAAAGGTTTCATAACGTGTAATAAAGTTTAGTAAATGTGGTAAAATTTGATTTCATTATCATGATACCTTAGAGCGTGGCATAAAAACCATTTATTCGGTTAAATTTACTTTTTATATTTTTTTATATTTAGTATTTTTTGCTAAATTTGTGGTAATATGGAATATAATTTTAAAACCCTGAATTTCCGGTAAACCTTTACGATATAAACTGAAAAATTGCCAAATAAATTATTTTAATGCCGTACATTTTTGTTTTATTGTTCAGAATTATAGATTTTTTTATCAGAAATATCAATACCATATAGTACGGTAATTTGAACAGAATTTTTTTCTCCATGTAGAGTAAATTGCTTTAAATTTGGATTAAAATGTTTACAATTAAAATGAACTACTTAAAATGTAGGACAGATGTTTTTACAATTAGAGTAATTGCTTCAGAATTTTCTAGATTAAGTAGCCCATTGTTCAGTACCAATTTCTCTGGTCCATTTCTCATCCTTTTTTTTTAATACTTCGTAAAAAAATTCTAAAAATCGATTTTTTTTAAAAATAGCATATTATTTAAATACTACATTATAGTATAATAAATGATCGAAATAAATATAAACTTTTTAGAATAATATATTTAATTTTTCAGAATTATTCATTTCACTTAACTTTTTTTCTCTAAATATTCCTTGGAACTTTTAAATGATTGATGATGTCTTATCAGTGTATGCAAAATTATACACTTAAACATAAGCTATTTAAAATAATATTAACATTTTTCATTGTTCAAAATCAATTTCCCAGGTTCAATTCCCTTTTTCTTCTTCCAACTCTCCATAAGACCTTAAAAACATTTCTTTTCACCATTAAGGCATGAAAAAGCTATTTACCTACAACTTCAACTGAGACAACAAGAATAAGAAGATTATCGTCTTAAAAAGGATTATACTTAAAAACAGAAAGGAAATACTTTGCTTCTTGTGATACTTTCTAAAGGAATTTCTCGCATAAAAAATATTCTACTGAATTGAAATATCCCGTTGAACAAATGAATTAAAAATTTAGCTAAAAACTGAACTTCAGTTTTTCAGAAAATCCTCAAAGCATCCGACAAAGCAATTTGCTGATTAGATTCATTTCTCAAAATTTGACATGAAATTCATAGAAAAACTTCTAAAGAATTTCGAAACAAATGTATTTTTTGTTTAATTTTTCGAAATATGAGAAATGAATGAGTAATAAAATAATTAAGTGCCTAAATAAAATAATAAAATAATTAAGTGCCTAAATAAAATAATAAAATAATTAAATACCCATTCCTAATAATTTAAAAACTTTAAAGATCTCCAATTTGAAGACATCTTTGAACAATATTTGTTGCATTGTTATTTTAAACAAATCTTTCACGACATAACATGACACATAAAAGGAATTGTTTCAGAAATATAACTGCACAATTAACTGCAAAAAATCACTATTTTCATAATTAAAAAAAAATAGATCTGACCTTTAAAATTTAATTATTTTCTTCTCTTTCTCATATATATATATATATATATATATAGTTCAAAATGAAGAATAAAACAAAGAAAAATTAATGAAAAAAAGGGGGGTGGGAAGTAAAAAAAAATAACAAACAACTTTTTATTATAAAAAAAAAGATGAAATGTTAATTAAAANAAATATATATAATTTTTTTTTGTATTTTCTATGTATATTTCGCATCGTACAAAGTATATTACAGCATTTTTTAGGTACATAAAATGCAAAAAAAATTAAATTTAAGGAATCAATAAAAATGGTAAGCAGTTGTTAAATTTAAAAAAATTATCTTTCTTGTTAAAAATTTAAAATAAAGATACTTTTTACAGTTAATTCTCATTATTGTGTACAAATATTGATTCATAATTGTAAATATTGATAAATATTATGTGTACCAACTTTCTTTGGAGGTAGTATGTAAAATTATTTAAAAAAGCTTAAATAAAAATTTGTTTCAAAACATTTCATTTTTCATGTCAACTAGAAGTATTCACTAAATTTCAAATTAGTCTAAAAATATTGTTCACTATAAATGTGTCATTTTAATTGTTATAAATTCATTTCTTCATGCATAAATGTAAGAATTAGTTCTCATCGTACACGGAGAAAGCAATTCTGATGAAATTACCGTACTTCATAGTAATGACATTTCTGTTAAGAAAAAACATAATTATGTTAATTAAACAAAAATATACAGTATTTAAACCATTTCATTCGGTAATTTTTTCCACTCAGAAGATAAAGTTTTACCAGAAATTCTGGTTTTCAAAATTATGGTTCTTATTACCGCATATTTAGTTCAAATTACCACACATATGCCCTGTTCTAACATATCAGGATAACATCACCATATTTTGTGACATTTACCAAATTTTATGGCAAATTATAAAAATATATTTCCTTGTTAATTTTAACAAAATCATCACTCTTCAGTAAAAGTTACGGAACTTCTTGTCGTTTCCACAGAGCTAAAAGCATGGAACATTTTACATTATTCTAGTAGTTTGGACAGTACTTTTTTCTTAGTGTAATAACCGTAATAATACTTAAAAATACATGTGTGGCTGGGTGGCGCAGTTGGTTTGTCGTCGGCCTTGTGAGCCCAAGTTTGCGGGTTCGATCCTCGGCGCATACACCGGATTTTCGGGATGCAGAAAATCCTCAGCGGCCATGTCGTATGCTTATGCGGCATGTAAAAGATCCCTGGAGTGCCATATTGGCTCTCCGTATTTCCGGCAAAATTAAATTCCTAGTGCACTTTAGCATCCAAATAGAGACTCGGTGCTGCCATCTAGTGTGGCAGAAACTAGACGTCCAAACTAACATGACCAACGGTATCTCACCCATTGTGGTGGTTCTAAAAGAGTGGATACCACCTCTGGAGAACGCACTAGGTCTGCTCATCGGCAAGACCGATTGTGCAGCTCATTGGAAATAAAAAAAATATATATACTTAAAAATCATATGAAAGGGAAAGTTCGAGGAATTGAAAATTGTGAAGATTTGAATGTTTATATTTTTATTTAAAGTAAAATAGTTATAAAATGATTAAATAATATTAGACAGAAATGAAACTATATGAAATAAAATGTTAATGGTTCAGAAATCCTCTATCAATTATTGCATCCAATGGCAGAGTAAACGATAAAGTGGTCTTGTTTTAAAAGCTTTTAAAATAATCTTGTAAATTAGCAATAAAATCAATGGCTTTCTAAACAAATTCAACAGTTATATTTACGCGTGAATGAAAATTTTAAGATTTATTTTAACTGCCTCGTTTATTCAAGTGATGTCATTAAATAAATAGCTTCAATGTCGATTAGCTTTAATTATACCATTAACACTTTGCAGAAGTTTATAGCTTTAGTTACAGGCCTATGATTCTCGTCAAAAATAACATTTTACAAAAATAGTGCGTCTGATTTCTCACAATAATTATTCAACCGAGTGATTATAATGTAAATATTAGTTTTATTGCATTAGAAAAATTTAGAACTCGAATTGTTTTCACATGCTTAAGTAAGTGTAAGCAATTAAACTTGAATTGTGTCTATTCTAAGATTTTAAGTTAAAATAAGCAGAATTTTGAACGCGGAAAAACTGAAACTTTTTTCTTTTCGATTTACTTTCGCAAACTTGAAAACAGAGGTTCGTAAACATGCAGCATTTATATTAGAATCAGACGACCTATCTGTGTAGGTGTCAGGAAACTGACCTTGCATCAGAAAGGTTCTGGGTTCGAATCCCGGACGAGGCATGGAGGTTCTTTCGTTCTCTGTACTATCTGTCTTTACTGTGGGAACAACGTTAGCCCACCTAATATGGTGCCCTTAAAAGAGTGGCCAACAAATCTACCCTTCAAATGCCTGTATTAACGAAATGACATTCTCCAGGTGGGCATTGGGAAAAAATATTAAAATCATACCCAGCGCCAAGTTTAAGAATCCAAATAAAATGAAAGATATGGAAATAAGCTTGAAAATCGAATAAAAAACGTAACGATATAGAATGGATATAGGTTAATAATGTTACTTGAATACTTAAAATATTAAAATTTGGGTGCGTTAAATATCTTTTATATTTAATCAGATCAGAAAAGATCTTTTTTTATTGTTTTTCTTTACCCTTTGAATTCATCGAACACAGACTAAATCTATTGAAGCTTCTCACGAAAGTTACTCATTCATTTCTTATATAAAGTTCATATCTTATAAATAGATTTGAGTGCAGTTTCTGTTCTTACATACTATTCTTTTCTTAATTTTTCTTCTCTTAAAAATCA